ATGTTTTCATAAGAAACTTGTTTTTAAGCAAAAAGCGTCTTAACATTTCAAACTGGTATTTCCTAATTAAAATATTGCATCAGCGGCAACTGTGAAGGTTTATATGGATTAATATTAGGTGGATTTTATTTTTCAAGAGCTTGTTATGAAGTGAACATTTTTTTCTCCACAGTTATGTTCACCATCCAGTGTAGAACACCAACCACTGCTTTGATGTTCCTTGTGACCTGCAAGGCTGATGACTTTGCTTGGGCAAAGTAGATGCATAATATTCTTGAAGCCTTTGATTCATTACTTTTATCTGTCTCTTAAATAGCTGGAGTCTTGTATAATAATTCTGCATGGTAACATGACTGTGTAGAATGGATGATCTGAAAACCGTAAGTCATGAAATAACTAGTTGAAGTGCATTTCAAAAGTGTGTGTGTCGGGGGGGAGTTTATACCATAAACATAATGCTACAGTGATACTCAACAAAAATATAGAAGAAAACAAAAGAACACCTCCCCTTTAATGAACTGAAGGTTCTTGGAGTCTTTAGCTTAGTTAAATGGACGCTTCTTTATATAGATATGATCTTTGAGCCAAGCATAAAATAGTGCTGCTTTTTGCCACTGTAATTGAAATTATATTGGTGCTTTCTTTTATAACATTACTTTAACAACATAAAAAACAGTAAAAAATTACTTAGTTCATTTAACTCAAACTTCCATGATAAAACAGACTTGACTCTGCAGTGAAGTTTAGCATACCAGATCTGCACCTCTAAAGCAAATAGTCTTTCTGTTTCTGGAATAAATACCTTTTAGAAACACTGTAGCTGTATTTTGAACACAATTTGCTTTCTAATTGCGTAGTTTTATAGAAGACATTGCCCCTTATGAAATGAAAAGACCTAATGTAATTGGATAGTCAATGAATACAGATAATAAGAGAATCTACTCAAATAATAGTTTCACTGTTATTCTTCAATCTTGCCAAATCATTATTATATTTAAAATATGAATAAAATTTAGCATACTGTCGCATCATCCTAGTTTACACTTTATGCATTTTTACAGCAGTACAAGTGAATACTTTTTGTTCTAATTATCATTTCACTGATTTGTATTTGTACAGTCTCATTACATTTTTTATGCTTTATCTTTGCTTTGTATATTAATGTCAACATAGCAAGATGAGTCTTTTCTTTTGTATTTTCATGAAGCTGACATAAATTTTTGTTCATCCTTGGAACCAAACGTGCATCTTGACTTTTTCTCTGGGCAGAACTCTCATCCAGGCATACAAGAGCGGGTTGTTTGAAGAGGAGACTTACCAGGCAGAGCTGGCTTTCCCTGTGCCAAATCTGAACGACATTTACGAAAGGGAGAAATGACAAGTAGGAAAGGACTGAACAAAAAGCACTTTAAGAGTTCTTGCTTTTAAAATAGTAACTATGAAAGGTTATGCTTCTAATTATTTTTGTTCCACTCATTCCTCAGTTTTAAAAGTACATATCCTTTAGAGATACACACCTAGATTTTCCATGTGTCTGAAGAGAAAAATATAAGCCTGGGTGGAAATGCTCTTTTATTCTGGACAATGGTTTTGTTACAAGTGCTACTACTGAAGATAAAGTGGATTTCAGACCCACATAATATTTACTATATTAGTAAGCTAGAAATATGTGAAGACAAGTTAAATTGCCTCTATAGTATTAATTTTTTTCTTGGAATGCTCCTTAGTAATTTGAAAGATCTACATTTAGAAAAGATCATTTCTAAGGAAAGTGACATAATGCAAAGGAGAAGTTTTTAACAGAATTTGTTTTTTTGAAGACAGCTACATCTTTATTTGAAATTTCTTGTTTCTGATCTAACTTCTGTTGGGCAAATGTCCTCAGGGTTGTGAACCGCAGAAGTTAAATGTTAGCAGATAAACCAATTTGACTGATGTAGTCTGCCTGAACTTTTCCATCAGCAAAGAACAATGTCTCGTGAATAGGAATCACATTAAACCGGCCACATAGTGAGGAACACGCTATGTAAATCTAATGAGGATGAGTCTTCATCAGTGTGAATCTGAAAACTTTCAAGGTTCTTCCAGGTAAAAACACATAATTTTGCCAATAATTGAATTAATTAGGTCACTACTCTATGTTACTATGAAATGTGAGTTTAACTGTGAGTATATGAAATGTATTCACTACTGCTGAGTATTTCTGAGAATGTGCTAAAATGTTAAGCTTCATCTCTTCACGGCATAGTGCAGTGTTATACGTTCTGTGTTACTCCTTGTACTGTTACTCCTTACCTGCGCAAGTGGTAATGCTTTAATGACAAAGGACCAATAAAATACCTTTGTAAACAGTTGGCTCCAAAATCTGCTTAGTGAAATTCAGTTACGTGACTGGTAAATGATGACATTATTATGCCTTTTTATTGCTACTTTCATCCCTGTGAACTTAATGTAAGCCAATGCAGTGTTGTCTTGTGGAATGTATGGGTAGCTTGAAACAGGACTCAGGAAGAAACTAATTATTTTTGCTAATACTAGCATTTAACGATGATACTTAAAATATTTTTTATAAATAAAATTGATCATTTCAGCAAGTAGGTTGAAGAGCGGCAGGGCAGGAGAGCAAAACCACAATGAAAAGCTGGGAGCTGCTGTAAGGAAGGATTTAGCTTCTGTTCCTTCCACATTTCAAAATCTTACTTGTATCCTGATTATATGAAAACACTAATGCGTTGTTCATGTAGCACATGCTTTCATCACCTATCCTGTGCATCAACACTAACTATACTTACACTTCATTATTCTGGGCTGGATGGTGATTAATGTCAGTAATATCTGTAAGGGTGCACAAAACTGCTTTCCCTTCTCCTCCTCTTTTTCTTACTGCTGGATGTGTGGCTATAAAAATGTGGTGCACAGTGACTACACACATGCCTGTCACTGCAATTCCCTCTTTGCAGTATCCATGACTATTCTTCCTCTCTGTGCCCTCTCCCTACCCAATTTGCCAAATAAGACACAATATGCAACACTCCTTTATCCACTCCTTTATCCTTTAAAGATTCCTAGGCAGTGTTGCACTGAATCTTTCCTGTAGCTTCTCAGATGGAGCTGTGTTGCAACGTGCATGCTCAGCAAGTCATAGTGGTTGACTCTCTCTCTTGCAGACATCTGATAATTTGCATAATTTGCCCATATACTATTTTTCTTCACAGACAAATTCTTTTCCCCAGTCTTTTCCCTCCATTTTGACAGTGGTTACCATGAACTCTGCCAGAGCTCAAGCAATTTTAACTAGTGTTACACAATTTTTCCATTTTGGACAACTGATATTTGGCCTCAGGCCTTCATCAAATCTTTATATGAGGATGACGAAACTTCAAACATTTACGGTTAAGCCATTTTCACTTTGTTTTTCAGACTGAGGTGTACCCAGAGGGGCACTCTAGTTCTTTCTCAAAGCCGGTATCAAAATTTTACCTCATTCAGTGGACTGAATCTTTTGGTTTTCTTTCAGAAAGTGAACACTGGGTGGAATCTCTGCTTCACATCCTTAATATAAGGAAGCTTCTCCCTATTTGCACAGGTCCAGCCCCAACCAGTCCTCTATGCTGTTCTCTTGTTCATTGCTAAAAGAACCAGTGGTATGGCTATGGCTTTTTCACCACTATCTAAAAGGCTGACAGGTTATGTCAAGCCTTCTGCCAGGACCATGACATGCTCTGTCAGGGCTCAAGCAACCCTGGTAGCATCACTGAGAACTATTTCTATTTTCATCGCTTACTCGGCAGCCCACAGGAGGGCTCTCTGTTCCGCATGCTGTACTCTCTCTGACATCTCAAGGGTGACGTGACACTGAGGAGAGCAATTCTGAAGCTGCTTTTAGGTGAAGAACTTGCTCTCCACTTGATAAATTTATGGCATAGCGTAACTGCTTGCAGTCACCCATGTTCATGTTGACCATCTACTCTTGCAAGATGTTTCTTGCAAGCAGTAATGTACACATTATATAGTGTTTTCATCTGCCTTCCTCTCTCTTAGTTCAAGATTGCTTTTCTTTGATTAAAAAGGCACGGAAAAAGTGCTGCGCATACTCCTTATACACTTATACAGCAAGAATGTGAAAGGATGGAGAAGGGGCAGAGACAGACTGCACCTTTCAAATTACTGCAAAAGTCTTCCAGTGTTCAGTGACGGTGTGTATGTTCAGTTTGACTCTACCTCTGGATTATGTATCCTGAATACTAGTTAACTAAGTCACCTCTCTGCTCCCGAAGTACTGTTCTGCACTTCAAGTGCAGGAAAACCTTGCCATACAGAACAAATATTTGATTCACAAGACGTTTTTTAGTAGCCTGACCTTTTCACCAAAAGCCCTGTTTTGCACCCCTTCATGTTTGTTTTTACAAAATCAGAGATGACTGAACTTCTGCATTGGAAAGCTTATGTTCCGGAAACTAGGTAAGTGGCATAGCAGGATTGAAGCCATTTCCTAAAATTTAGTTGTGCTTCTGCATCACAGCCAAAACTTGTTTTGTAGAAAGCTGAACAACTATCAAGCATGAAATGTTCTTCAGCCTATGATGTCTTGATCAACATTATGGAATAATTTTTCTCTGGTGGGCAAGATTAATTTCTTAGTACCTGGAAAATTATGTTGTGTCACATGTCAACACCCCAAGTGCCAAAATGACAGTTCCTTAAGCTGACATATATAAATAAACTGTGATTTTTTGGCACATCATTTAACAATGGAAAGTTCAGTATTTTTCCCTTCTATTACGTAAGTATATATATTATTGAAAGTCCTATTATTTTAATCTTAAATCTAATTTTACCAAGAGACTTCCATCTTTTCAGTTCTCACCGCTCCCTCATATGAACCAGTAGCATTATGCTTCCCATTTTTTTTATTAATGATCATAGCACTTTTACAGTATATAACCTCAGTGAAGGGAGAGCAGATTCTTGTTTTTATGCGATTTTTTTTTCCACCTAGATAAGGATCTGTCAGATTTTTCACAAAAGGTTTTGGAACTCCATAGGAAAAACAGCTTCACTTCCACATAGTCTTCCCCAAAACTACCTGCATCTGTGACAGAAAATTCTTCAGACTTCCCATAGAGATAAATTTTTAATCGGAGGACAAAGCATTTAGTTGTAGGTGTTGCTCAGGTCTCTGTAGCTACTGCAGAGAGAATGATGGCTTTGGAAACTTTATCCAGAAGCACTCCATACAAATTTCAGACTATATCAAAAGAAGCAAATAATTAGGTAGCTATACCTCATCTCTCCCAATTTATCTGAAAAAAAAATCCCAAAAAACTTCCAGTCATTCTATTCCTAAACTTACCTTTGACTGATCAGTCTGTAATTAAATGGCCATTATCATCAATCATTAAATGTGTTTGCAGTCACTCAAAGGACACTGTGAAATTACGTAGTTGTACAGCAGCTAAAGCTTGCCGTATACATGTTCCACACCCTCTCTTCCATCCCCGCTTTCCTGTTCTTTGAGGCAGTATGACTTCTTACCAAGAAGGCAGCATAGCATAAATTTTATCAACACAATCATTATTTGATACAGAGTTGCAGTTTCAGTCCACCAGTCTCAGGCTCAGTCTCCATAGGGCCCCCCCCCGCCCGGCTATGGAAGTCCTAAATAACATGTGCCAACAGGAGAGCTTTTGCTCAAATGAGCATGTCCCATTGCCACTTTCCAAACTTAATGCTGTAGTGTGAGAGACTTTCTTAAGAGTGCTCTTGACCTGTGTTCGTGTTCAGCACTTCAGGACTAAACCACTATTCCTCTGTTCAAGATTTTCATTCCATGTAGTTTGCCAAGATATCTGGGATAACTCTCAACATTATGCAAATTTTAATAGGAAAGTAACATCAGCTTAATTACAATTAAAAAATTAAGTCAGTTACTCTAATCAGACAGAATAATGAACCGGTATCTAACCAATGTCATTAGTATCTTAGGTCATAATTGCTTTGGGGCGGGGGAGGGAGCTGGTCAGTTGCTGAAATAATTCTGTGTTGCAGCCTATCTGCAGCTGGCTTTTTAGTATAATGCCGAGCAGCGTGTTGCATGAACAGGGTGTAGCAGGAGATTATCTCGGGGTGTTTGAGAACAGAAAACCTGCTGGGCCAGTGTGGGAGGACTGTGCCTGTTGGAAGGAGCCAAACTTGGTGCAGTCCTTTCCATATCTCTTTTTGGACTGAGTTCCTGGAAAAAAATGTCTCCCAAACTAAGGCTGTGTATTGCTTGGAGAGAGCAAGCTGGTGCTGTCCAAAACAGAGGCCAGAAATTAGATGATGAACAGCGTGGGCAACCAAGCATTCAACCTGCCTGACCCCCACGGCCCTCAAGCTTGTTCTCTATCCCTCTTTTATTTAGCGTTATAGACACAGACTTCAGTTAGGCGAAATCCATGATGAATTACATGGCTCCTTACCAATGAGAGCTAATCTTCGGACAGACACTGTCCTTAGGCAGCATCTTCCCTAAAATGGATACCGAACAGAAGTAGATGCTACTTTTTTTTTGTTCACAGAGTAACCTGCACTATAAAGCAGCTGATGTTTGCTTTAATCTATCAGACAGTACGAGTTTACTCAGCTTCTATTGCTGAAACGGTAACTCGACTTCACACCACAATGAAGTACAGCAAAATATAAATGAATAGTAGCAAAATTACCATTTAGAATTTGTATCCATTGGAGAAATTTCTTCCTCAAAGCAAAGGTGTATTTACTGGTGTTACAGTTGGTCGTGATGTGAAATCCACTTCTCTTATAGGTAAGGGACTAAGACTTGCTATTCTTTTTAAGTTATGGTGCGGAATCTGGGACAATTCATATATATCATGTTGTGATGTAACAAACTGGAAGCCTAAGCAAAAGAGTTGAAACGCAAGTCAGAAAATCTACAATGTAATTTAGACATTTAAAATAACTCTTTCTCTACCTGTTACAAATCCTTGTAACACTAACTTAAAAATAAAAATAAAAAAAACAAAGCTAGAGACAGTTCTATTTGTGTTACAAACATGGAGACAGAAAAAAGAGAAATATCATTCCCTAAGACTGCTCATATAACAAGCTGATTTATACTATTATGAGATATAATCTGATAGCATTGCTCTATTTTTTACTTAATATTGCTCTACTTTTAAAAAATAAAAGCAAAATATAGTCTTTTTTTTGAGAAATATTAAGTATAGTTTGTTGGCCAATTTTTTCCAGACGGCACTATTAGTCCTCATTTACATCAAACTTAATTTCAATTATGCAAGTTTAAATGAGAATAGAATCTGGCTCTGTATTTGATTTTTGTTTGTTTTTTGACTTCCCTCACTTCCCTAATCAGTCAATACTGTATGTTAACATGCCTACACATTGCATGATATGTAGGTAGATCATACACACTAAAAGCCTCCTGGCTATGTCAAGACACAGAAACTGAAGCCTTATTGATGCCCTAGCAGCAGCATATAGCCATTCTACTGTTTAATTAAAAGCAGTTTTTAAATCAATCATCTATTCAGATCTGTGAAAACCATTGTGGGTGCAACCCACTATGTGACATACATCTGTTCATAATGATCTCTTCTCTGTTTAATCTTAATTCTGTCATTTATATGCCAGGTCTTGTAAGGCAATGACAATAAATGAGGTATTCTGTTAAGGTAAACATTATATATGGAAAGATAACAAAGACCTTTGAGACTGTGGTTCTCCTCAGGATATATGATGGTAACATAAAGCAACAGGGTGTTTTGTCATCACTCAGTTCAAATTAGCCAGCTTTACTTTATGTAACACAAGAAATTAAGCTTTGGGGCTCCCTATTTGCACTGCTCCTATTGCTCTTCCCAATTGCTTTCCTTCCAACTCCTATGGTATTTTTCACTCTTAGTTCTTATGGTTTCCAAGTATCCTCCTTTTTGATTCCAAAGGCCCTTAATGGATGTGGCTTTCAGCCTGTCTCTCCAGTACTTTACTAACTGTTTCCCATTTTCACTGGAGAAGGCGTACTACAGATGTATCTGAGGGGTCTTTTTATACTATTTTCTGCTGTTAAGGAACTACTCATTACTTAAGGCATACTTGAAGCTTTTAAAGTTATGTAATGCTTTAACAGATTATATGTATTTAAAATTATTTTAATAAATTACTCTACTGGTACAAACATAAAAATTCTTTTCACATTTATATCCCACTGTATTGTCCAATTACTCTTTATCAAAGGTAATCAAGTGATCCAGTTGACTCTACACTCTGAGGAGCATTGTGGATTTCTTAGCTGGAGAAAGAAGTTGTTGAAATATGTTCAGTATATAAAACAGAATCACAGAATGACTGAGGTTGGAAGGGACCTCTGGAGATCATCTAGTCTCATGCAGGGTCATCTAGAGCACATTGCACACAGTTGCGTCTAGGCAGGTTTTAAGTATCTCCAGGGAAGGAGACTCCACTACCTCTCTGGGCAACCTGTTCCACTGCTCTGTCACCCTCACAGCACAGAAGTTTTTCCTCATGGTCAGGTGGAACTTCCTGCGTTTCCGTTTGTGTCCGTTGCCTCTTGTCCTGTCACTGGGCACCACGGGGAAGAGTCTGGCCCCATCCTCTTGACACCCTCCCTTCAGATACTTACATGCATTGGTGGGATCCCTCCCCGAGCCTGCTCTTCTCCAGGCTGAACAGGCCCAGCTCCCTCAGCCTTTCTTCAGAGGAGAGAGGCTCGAGGCCCCTCATCATCTTGGTAGCCCTTTGCTGGACTCTCTGCGGTAGTGCCATGTCTCTCTTGTACTGGAGAGCCCAGCACTGGACACAGTAGTCCAGGGGAGGCCTCCCCAGGGCTGAGGAGAGGGGCAGGATCCCCTCCCTCCACCTGCTGGCAACACTCTGCCTAATGCA